ACATCCTTTCACCAAGGCAAGTAGGATTTAGACAGGGGTGCTCTATATGGTCGGCTCATGTTGATTTGGAAAGCCGAATTCGCCTTGCAAAAGTATCTGGTGAGCTTTCTGCATTAGTCACGTTAGATATCGCAAAAGCCTACGATAGTGTGGAATACAGTACTTTGATTTCAAGATTAGTGGACTGTGAGGTTCCCAAGTACATTATATCTTGGGTTCAGGAGTTTCTCTTTGAGAGACAATTATTTTGTTGCCACGAGGGAATTACTTCTGCCTCATAAAAGCAAACAAGAGGTGTTCCGCAAGGATCAGTCCTGTCACCTCTTTTATTTAATATATTATTATCATCTATTCCCGTTCATAAAAATGTTACTCTTTACGTCTACGCCGATGATATTGCTTTTTTCTCTTCATCCCGAGATATCAATAGTTTTAATCAAATCTTACAGTCACATTTGAGTGAGCTTGAGGTATGGCTTGGCGGGCTGTCTTTTTCACTTAATGTTAGCAAATGTGCTCTGCTTGTATTCCCTCAATCCGTTCCCGTATTTCTTTCACTGCATTATCGAAATGATCCGATTCCACAAGTAACAGCGCTAAAATATCTTGGTATTGTTTACGTGGACAATTCAAATTGGCAGCAACAAATAGAATCAAACACCCGTAAAGCAGAAAGCGCCGTATGATTGCTCCGCCGGTTCTGCAATAAGAAATCAGGGATGCGCAGGAATACGTTACTTATGATATACAAACTTTACGTACGCCCAATTCTGGAGTTTGGCTGCGTTCTGTTTTCTGGAAGTGCTGAGTACAAATTAAGACCTCTTATATTGCTAAGGCAAGCTCTGCGGCTGTGTCTCGGGCTACCCAGGTGTGTCGCGAATAGCGTGCTTTATTTGGAAGCTAGAATCATTCCACTTGATGCTAGATTTCGACAGCTCACTGTGCAAACATTTTTAAAACTTTACGATGCGCCCCTCTTCTGGTCACAGACAGTTTTCATCAAACATCCAGTTTCTTTCTTTCAGCGCCCGTGGTTTCGTTATCAAAGACCCCAAGTCATTCTCGTCGATTCTCTGTTATCCAATCTTCACGTTTCCCTCCGGCATTTAACTCCCCAAACCCAATGCTCGGTGCCAGTTGACTTAATTTTCGATGATATTTTTCCGAAAAATGCCAAGTTATTTCCAAAGCATGTTCTGGAGGGCCTCCTTCAAAACCATCTCAGTCATTTTGCTAAATACGTAGTAATTTCGACGGACGCAACGCAAAATCTTCAGAAGGCTGGAGTGAGTATTTTTTCTCATCAGCTTAATTGGTGTTTTGCGCTCCGATTGCCTGACTTCACACCAATTTATCTCGCAGAATTCCTGGCGATTACATTGGCTCTTCTAAAACTAAATTATCAGCAATCAAAAGCTATTATTATTTCGGATGCTTTGTCTGTATGTGCACATCTCACGTCCACAAAGAAGTCTCCTCTTCTCAGGATATTTTGGTCTCTAGTACCGCATAGCTTATCAGAAGTTCGGTTTATTTGGGTCCCCGGGCATGCTGGAATTGAACTAAACGAAATTGCTGATTCGCTCGCTTCGGCATCTTTAAATTTCCCGGTGGTGCTAGTAGCTCCACAGTTTCCTGTTATTACTGCCGAACGATTCAAACGCCTGTTAATCTTAAAAATAAACGAAACGTCGCTTCTACAATCTGAAGAATTTCGGCACTTGCAATTCACATGGAACACCGCAAAATGCCTTTCCCGTCAATGTGAGGTGACCCTCACAAGCTTTCGCTGTAGAGTTACTCTGCTAAATTTTTATCTCAACAAATCAGGATTTTCAGTAACTAACCTATGTGTAGTTTGCAATGAACCGGAAACAATAGATCACTTTCTTCTCACACGCCGCCGCTTCGCCTCACTGCACCGAATAATTCTTGAAAGAACGATTGGTATGCTCGGATTGCCAGTCAATACATCCACCCTATTATCGTTTGGAGCCAGTCAGTTGGGTGAAGGCCGCAGTGCTATTCTGTCAGCGCTACATAAATTCATTCAGGCAACCGGAAGGATACGCTGCTAGTGGTACAGCCAGATATATCCTATTCTTTCTCCCCCTTCCTCATTCTTGTTAATTTGTTTTATATATTCTGGTTTATCGCATTCTTCTGAAATTTTTCACGTTTTTTCAAAGGAACATAATTATTGTTCCTATCTGATTTCTCTTTATTTTTTAGCAAGCGTTGTAAAAAATGATCTATTATGAGGTACAGTGTGGCCAATCCCCCATGTGGGTATGAGCCAAGATCTCCTAGAAGACAAGACAAGACAAGCTGACGCACTTGCAATACCATCAATATAAGATCGCCATAAAGTTCATGAATGCGTAAGTAACAGGAAACCACAGTGCATACATAAAGAGCTTAAATATACGAAAGAGGGGTAACCTCGCCACGTAGGCATTAAATAAAATCAAAGTAATAACATTTCGTAATCTGTCAGGGCTAGCAATAGGCTAGAAATAGTGACGAGTGATGGAGACAGGTGATTCCAGTCACGGCATGTTTTCGGATGTAAGCAATCAGAGTACGTTGACGTGTTACGATCAACGTGTCCATTGTTATTGGGATCGAATATCGCATACGGCCAGCGTAGAGGTGCTGGTGGACTTTTTGGTCGAACAGACACCATCCCTAGACACCGATTATCCCCTTGTACCCCCGAAATCGGGCTGCGAGGTCATCGTGACATGGTCGTTCGAGAAACAGCTCAGTACTCGGGTCAGAGTACGAGTAGAAAACAGTTTCTCGTTTATGCTTGGGGGTGTTTCAGCTGAAGATCGCTAGCCTGGAGATATAAATCAGGGGACATGAGTTCCTCGCTTTAAAGAGTCTTGGTGGATAAAATAAGAATTGAAGTACTCAGGCACGTTGCTGTTGTTACGAATGCGACTGCATTGCTTTGCATATGCAAATAATATGCGTTCGTCATACGTGCACCACTGGAAATACATTAGACTGCAGGAGTGTGGGGATAACAGTAAGTTTCGAATAACGAATGAAATACCGTCCCAGTTCACCTAGGTCGTCGAGGTAAATAGATCGCTGCTTGAAAGAAGAATTTCGCGATATACCCAGTCAATTTGAAGAGAAGGTATCGCTCATTTCATCGCCTGGCAAGGAGGAAACATGTTGACGTAGTGGATCTAAATCCTTCAGAAAAGTATTTAGATCCTTTACTATCTCCTATATTGGGGTCGTTCGACTTGTATTCTACTGCCTCTGAAATGTTGCCATTCTCAAGCCCGCACTACGAACACTCCGCGGTGGTTTTGAAAAGCTCGCGCTTATGAAGAAACAGTATGGTACAAGCTGACTGGCTGCTGCTGACGCAAGTCGAAGCTTTTTTTTTTTTTTGAGCCTTGTTTACAATTTGTTTCGGTTTCGACCCCTTACGCTTCAGCACTCCTTATTTTTTGTCATTGCACAAAACATTTAAAGAAAAAACTGCGGGCATATGCAAACTTATTACATGGTCGCAACCGTCGGGTTGGGCAACAATGGGATTCACTTGCGTAATTATTAGTTCTGAGTTGCTTGTTTTCATTGTTTCAATTGTTTTCAGCTCTTCTCGTCAGTTCAAGCAGAAAGTATTTATAGAACGAATCTACAGCATTTTTATATGAAAGTTAGTTAACTTGAATAACTAAGCAGGTGAGGTAAGAGTGAAACTGAAAATAATCTTTGTTGTGTTCGTCACTAAGGTTGGCCTGCCCTTGGGTGAGCCAACTAATTCTTTTTTTTTGTAATTTTTACATAAAACCCTGTTGTACATTGCAGTTTTGTATTTCATAAATAAAAGCTTAGATGAACACTGATATGACGACCTGACCTAATTGAGATAGTGTTAGCTTTCTAGTTTCGGTTTCTGTATTTCGCGCTTAGCCGCTCACATGTTTACGTACTTTAGCGATATGATTGTATTTAATCGAGACTTAAGCTGTGGCACAGGTATTGTCTATTTCACACTTACTTCAGCTAATCTTGCTTCCAAAAGGCAAAACAAATAATGCCAGAAGTTGGGGGAGTTCAATTTTATGAAGAAAGAGAGAAAATCTAAAAACCTTTTTTTTTAATCGGTGAAACAACATACCAGGACCGTAATTTGATGAGAAATACAGCACATAGAATAAAAAGGTACGCTCACAACAATTCGGTGTTATTACGGAAAACGCCAGGGCACTTGGGCGCCGATAAGATCAGAAGCAGCATCTCCCGAAATTATGCAAATGCTGGTGAGGATGTTCTTCCAGTGCTATCGCAGCGTTTTCTAAGCAGTCTACGGCATTCACAAGAAGTTACAGGCCTTATCTTAATATTTTTTTTTTTACTTAGAGGATTCCTCGACCCACGCTATTTTGGAGTATGACCTTCAGTTGTCTTTTCGACGCAAAGAGCAGCTAAAGCGTTCCTCAGAGCATCACCTCGTTCATGAAGCCTGTGACAGAAATTACGAGTACAGCGCCCGGTGCTGTCAAGAACTGTACGGGCGATCAAAAGACCCGCTAAAAAGCTGTGTTGCGTAATTTTCCCGCGGTAAACAGTCCCTTCGCGCGTTTATACCACACGACGAACCCACCCGAAGCGACCGAATGAACCAAACAGACAAAGCCAAAGTGTAGCACGGCTACTCCACTAATTTTCACTACAATCTTGTCAACAAGAATGGCCTCTTTAAAGCATAAGTGTCCGACAATGCAAACATATACAACTTTAAAAAATGTTGTAAAAAATGCAAAAACGTTTACTTTTTTACCTAACAGATGGCGCTAAAACAGCTAAGTAGTTAAATAACGACTAAATTTTTGGTTAGCAAACGAACGGTGATGTTGTTTGTGTTGTTGCTTAACTCTACGCAAAGAAGGGGGTTGGGATGCAAGCTGACCAATAGCGAGCCGACGCTGCCTCGTCACGTGACAGCCTATCACACATGGCGCTTGCGATCATGGAGGCAGTCCATGGCCGTCGGCCCCTGTGCACCATCGCGGTCGTCTTGGGCGACCCGAGGTCGTCGATTAAGCATCCATGGAGTTACGGCTCCACAGCCCCGCCGGCGCCGAGCCGGCGGTCTACCCCTGGCCACTTTCCACCTCGGTAAGTAACCCTCATCGTCCATGGGAAAAAGTGCTGCTACCGAGGGATAGCAGTAGCCCCCTTCTCTCTCTGCGGGTCCCATTGGAGGGTTAGGCCTAAGCTCGTTTTCGAGCCTCCGATACTGCGCCTTGAATACGTGCCCGTCCGCACGTAGTAGCCGATCGGCTCAAATTTCATGGCCCAGCTGTCTATAATTGACGCGTCGATGTCATCGGCTCGTTTCAGACCCAACCCCGCAAGTTCTCTGCGGGCCCGACGGGATGATGCCCGTGTCTTATGTGTGTGTGTTTTTTTCTCTCTTTGCCCCGTTCGCAGGACAAGCATGACGGTGCCATCGAAATTGTCGAGACGATTCGGTGAGTCTGCGCGGCCAAATCATCTATTCACGTTTACAACTATGTCGTAGCCGCTTAGCGTTGCGTTTATCCGCGCGGAGCGGCTTGCTTGCCTGCTCGCGCGCGCCTCTGTGCGTGCGTGTGAACTTGCGTGCAGTGCCCAGGCAGCTTGAGTGGTGACGCGCACGGATTTGGTTGGCGGTCGCACATCGGCGCGGCTCGGGCAGGTGATTGACTTCACGCGTCGCTTGCTACGAGCAATGCATGAAGGTTGTAGCTCTTGGTGTGTAAGCGCTACGGCGGGCTTCAGTTGCACCTGCGTCGCCGATCGTAAACAATCGTCTTTTCGGCTGTGACGATACAGTGTAGCGCGTAGCGGCTACTCGCCGGCCCTCCTGCCTGTTACGTTCTTGTCGTCGACTTCGTCGCTACCTGGACGCACCTGCCTATTCGCGGCAGATGTTTGTTCGCCGTTTCGATGCTTGGTTATTTGATGGCGCGCATCGAAAAATTTCGTATTGTGTTTGATCGAGGGTTGCAGCCAGCACCGAGCCTGTTAAAACCGGCCGGCTTAGAGAGCGTCACGCATAGTTTTTGTCGCAGCCTAGCGAAAGTAAGAACGACTTCATTTTTTTTATTCATCGTGACGTCATCGATGTCGTCGTCCTGTTGCGCAATGATTTGGTGTCGCGCAAGAAATGGTTGATCGTCCGATTGTTTTGGTTCTGAACGTGTCGCTTTCGTTCGAATTTAGTGCTTTTTTTGTCGCATTTATGTACGCACGTAAGGAACGGACCATTATTGTGAAGGACACCGATGTGCGTGGTAGTTGCAGTAAAATGCAGTTCGGACATTGTGCGAGAAAAAGTAGATGCGTCGAAGGCGACATTTGTGTGTGCATCTGTTTCATAAAACTGGGACACGTGGCGATTTCAGGTGGAAAATAGTATTTCCTGTGTGTGTGCTGTGATTTAGTGGTGCAGTTTGTCAATTAGTTGTAAACAAAATGCAATCATTGGAAAGTCCTAATTAATCAGCAATTACTTCCAGTAGCATTTTCTCTCCGCAAGATTTTTGAGGCAGTCACTGTGAAACTCGCAAGAATGACGTCTCTAAGGGTGTTTCGTTTAAGGCATCTGTCGAGTGATCCATCTCATTGACGCCGATGTGTCTTGCATAAATGTTACCATCTCAAAAGTCAGCATTGTAGACTAAGCGGAAAGGTTGCTGCTCACACTTGGTGTCTGCGGTACACATTCCACAGCAACTTTTTTTTTTCCCCTGTTCTTTTTGGTACTAATAGAATCGTAGAATTAGAAACGACCGCAGCTGCCTACTTCTTAGTGTTGCTGACACCTGCATGAATGAGGAAGCCATGGAGACGACGAAAGTGCCTTAACGATCTTTAAGTATGCTGCAATTAGGCTCTCACTTTGCTGCAAGACATATCTGGGGTATGTTGGGTCTACGAAAAAAGATGTAACTAGTTTTTTTGAATCAGCTGCTCGTCAAAACAGCAGCATACCTTCCGGATCTGTCCAGTTTTTGGCTGAAAGGACAAAGTTAAGTTTTGTTCTACAATTTTCATGATATTTCGTCAGAAACTCTGGCAAAGTTTTTTTCTTGTTGGTCTTTGAAGCCTTTCGATTGGGAAATAGATGGGAGGGGAGGGGCACCTGCGGGGTGAAACAACAGTCTTTCAAGATTAACTGTGATCCGAAGATAGTGTTACTTTGTAGTTTGTTTTTTGCAGCTACATGCACTTGGGTCGTATGCATCCCACATGCTCAGTGCAATAGTTTTTTTTTAATGCAGGCTATTCCATTTCACGTGTTAGTTTGTTTTCAGGTCAGTAACTACATGCGACTCACTCCACTTGTGTGTCTAGTAACGCAGTTGTATGCCGATAACCATTAATATTTATGCAATTTCTGGCAGAGAGTTGTTTCTGCTACAGCTAATGCCATATACAAGGCAGGGGCACATTCAGTGCATTTATTTGCTGTACTTTTATGTGTAGCTCATAATTTGCTTTAATAGGTATTAAGAAGTTTTACATAAGCATTAATATTTTGGTGGGCTATGTTAACTTTTATGTGTCCATGGTTCTAGTTTTTGGTGGTATTTGAAATAGGAGCTAGTTGGCTTTTCCGATGATGCGCAGGATTTCGTAGGAAGCTTAAGCGTCCAGTTCTATTTGTTTGGTCAACGACGTGCGTCAATCGTAATGTGTTTCAAGACAGCACTGCCTCTGTTTTGGCGCTGCCTATTCCTGCATTGTCAGTGGTCAGAGTGGCCAGCGTTATCAATGAGGTCAGGCCGCCACCGACGGTCGATGATAAGAAAGTGATGGAGTTCAGCAAAAGACAGTGCAGCTCTGTCTGACTCCTGTGTTGGTATTGTTTGTGGAAAACAAGAAATTTTATATTCTGACATTGGTAGCGGTGATAAGTATGCAGGATGGCCAATCTTTGCAGGCTTTAAGCTACTCGGTCTTCCATGTGTGAATCTACGATAATGTACGTTTACAGTGATCTCAGTTAAGCATTTTTTAATTCCTTATAGTGAGCCCCGCTGTGGTGGTCTAGTGGTTGACGTACTCAGCTGCTGACTTGCAGGTCGCGGGATCGAATACCGGCTGCGGAAGCTGCATTTTTGATGGAGGCAGAAATGCAATAGGGCTCATGTTCTCAAATTTGGGTGCACTTTCTTTTAGAACTCCAGTTGTCGAAATTATCGGAATCCTCTACTACCGCGTCTCTCACAATCATGTGGTGGTTTTGGGACCTTAAACCCCACTTATCTATTTATCTAATTTCTTTTAGTGATTCATTTACTGTAATGAAGTAGCAGACATGCGGCTTGAGCAAGAGAGAAGAGGCTACGACGAGCTACCACTACTCGTGCGGCTAGTTAGTCCTTGTGGTAATGAAGCCTGTGTCCAGTTGTCACAACTCCTGCCTTTAAAAGAACCTCGTTTGAATTGGTGGAGATGCTGGGCGTTGATTACAAACAAATTTAGCTGGTGTTTTACTGACCTCAAACCAATGCACAGGCAGACGAAAAAGTTTATCAGTCCTTCTATCTATCTTGTGTTCAAGAGGAATGTTTAGGCTACCAATAGGGAAACGTGCATGTCCAATGCTTCTTTGTCATGTTATTTGCCATGTTTTAAATTCCACTTATGTGTCAAATGTGCAAGGGCCTCGCAGGAATGAGTTCTCTGACCCATATAGTTTTCTGAAATTAACTAGAGGGGACTCTGGTGGCCCTCGGATTGTTTAGCGACTATAAGAATGATGGTAATGCGCAGATTTGCGGAGTTTTTGTATTTGTAGGTGGCGAATCACACTTGTGGCTTTGTTTATTGCTGTGTTTGGGTTTCATTTCGAAGGAAAGAACAAACCCTTTGAACTTCGTGAGCTTAATTTGAAATGGTGGGCTTGAAAGATTAAGGCGGTGAAGTGGAACTGTTGAACATTTGCTGATTGCTATTTCGTGGCAAGGCAGCTTCAAGCCACGCGAAGCCCAGAGGAACATAAAGTACGTAGACTAGGCAGATCCGTGTAATACCCGTAATTTCAATGCTCGCTGAAGCAGCCATGCATTGAAGCTCCCATAGACACTAGTGTCAGAGTTCCCTCTAGTGTATATATAGGAAACTCTTTGCTCTGACCCACATTTACGAACCTGTAAAAATCTGCAGCACTCTTTTTAGTCGCAAGCTGACACAAGGGTTATGGAAATTGAAGTATCTTAATTTGAAACTGCAGCTTTGTTGCCAGCCCAAGTGTTGTTGTCATTCTTTGTTGCAGGTGCCGGGAAAATTATTTGCCGACTGTTTAGTAACAATAAAGCGTTTTGTGATAGTGTTTATTGTGGCAGAAAAGCTCAGATCCATAAGAAAAGTTCAGAAATAAAACAAGGATGATTTGTGGGTTTTTTCCAGGCAGTTTGTCTATGTGGTGGCTTTAGCAATCAGGAGGAATGGAGCAAGCTAACTTAATGTCATGATGCATCCATTTCAGTGTTATTGAAAACAAAACTGTTTTCGTTGATTGCTGCACTTTAGCACTGTGCAACATATTTATGGGGCTTAGGTTCTTTGTCTATTCATTTACTAATGCACTATCTCGTGAGGCGAAACGTATACACTGCTTGTCCAACGCTCACCCGAACCCTCTTTCATAATGCAAAGAGTCTTTGTCAGGCACTGATAATTTCATGTAGCAAGGCTCGCATCCCAAGGTTTACCGATATTCGGTGTGCCATTTCCAAGTTGAGCTCCTGAAAGTTTTCGCAGCGTCAATCGAACTCCTAGTTTCAACAGGGCACTCCAGTGTCAGGCGTCTTACCCACTGTTCAGGGGCATCAGTTTTCGCCGTTTTGCTCGTGCTTCACTTTAAGGCACAGTTATCATCGCGCTTTGCCTGAATGCGCCTACGCTCCTTGGTGGTCTTTTGGTTATGGTGCTTCACTGCTTGATCCGCAGAGTGTGGTGTGGAATCCCAGCCGCCATAGCCACATTTTCCATCTAGGCGAGAATGCTTGCGGCTGCATGTTAAACAACCGCCTGTGGTTAAAGTTCCCAGAGAGGCCCGTGTGTTTAGATATAGGAGCACGTTAAAGAACCCCAGCCGGCCAAAATATCCAGAGCCCTCAACTATGGCGTCTCTCATAATTATATGGTTGTTTTGGGACGTGAAACCCAAACAGTTGTTACTATTAAAATTTCCAGAGCTCTTCACTGTGGCATCTCTCATAATCATATGGTGGTTTTAAGACGTTAAATTTCTACAATTATTAATTAGACATAAACATACCTCAAAGCAAGGCTGCTAAACTGGTCATGCAACATCTACTAAAAATGCGAAAGCATTGGCCTGCCCTGTGAAGCTGAACATCCAGCGAATGTCGGTGTTCAGGCTTGATGTTGGGGAAAAATTGGTGTAGGCTTTCGGTGTCCAATTAAAAAAAAAATTGACCTAATTCAATGCCAAGGCTATGAAAGAAACTTCATG